TATTTTTTACACACCAGAATGCTTCGCGCTTTTTCCCGCCGAACGTTCCAAGCGAAAATGTATTAAGGCAGAACAAGGGACGCTCATTGTTGCTCGCCTCAATTTGCTGGTGCGCGAGAGAGACGAGAAGAGAATAAAAACACAATCTGCAACCAGCGGCATAAAAAATTTAATATTGTGTAGAGTGTATTGGAGAAATGTTGCGTTATTAGTTATCAATAGGCATAAAAGATGAAAATTCAAAAATTAATCAACTGCATCGCTGCTTCAAAATGCGGCATTTTCTATAGCTCGCAATCAGAAATGGATTTTTGTTTTTCATTTCAAAATTTGTAAAAAGCCACTGGAACCGCAGAAGTCTTATCCATTTTAATTTCCTGCTTTAGATTTGCAAGAGGTCGTTGCCTTAAATGGGAATTTTGAAAGAGAAATAACAATTTTCAAGCTTAAATTAGTTTTGCTTTTTAGATTAATTCACCCTTGTGAGTAACAACCACAGTTTTGTTATAACGGGTTTTTTTTCAGAGCATTGTGTTGAATTTCAATTTTCAAGTCTCCAGCAAAGTGTGCAAATTCACTGTTACCTGCTGCTGTTTCGCCTGCATTTCAAAAAGCAACAATGAAAGTCTGGGCGGTCGGTGGCGCGCACGATTATCAGAGTCAATTACGCCATTTGCGCGCACCCGCATCGTGCCCCGCCGAGACCGCCGCGAGAATGAATGAAGTTTTGTGCCTGCGGAATGAAAAAGCCACCGCCATGAAAAAAAAACAGCGGGTTAGTGCGTCGGCCGAATCAATGTGGCAAAAGTGCAAATCATCAGAGGGAAATTAAAAGCAGGAAAGAAAAAAAAGAGAGGTTGCGTGCGACGACGCCGTCACTTTCATTACGCCATTACTAATCCTGCGGTGCACGGATCGTGATAAAAAGCGGCGGCGAATTGGTGATAAGGCATGTGCGTTCGAACAAATAAAACACAAAGCAAGTAAACAAATTCCTAGCTGGTTTTTTATATATCAGCCGGAATGGAAATTTTTTCCATTTGTCACCGCGGCCGGATTTTTCATCCTCGGTTGGTGCAGAAATCGATATTGCGTTTGTTTTTACGGAATTCCATTTACGGTACTTGCGCGCCCTACACACAATTTTAGCCTCCAAAATGCATGCAGGAAAAATACCTACTGCGTGACGCACAGAAATGCTTGGGAATTTACATGTCAAAATGTGGCCATTTCTACGATTTTTCCTAGAGTATTTCTTCTCTATTTTATAATTTAGGTTCCACTCTACTAAAGTATGTATTTTTTTTTTTGTAAATTGTTATTCCAAATTTCAAATATAAACAAAATATAGACGATTTCATCAAATCTCCATATTTCTGAAGTGGATAATTATATTTTTTTTTTTTTAACATTCTCGCAAACTCCAAAGGGAGGATGAAAGAGGTTTTATCCGTTTCGTGCGACCATCTGCACGCACAAACCGATCGATTCAGCCGCAGCGTAATGAGCGAAAAAATCGCTTCAGAGGCGAGCAAAAGATGGTGCTGGGGCCAAAGGCCGAAGCATGGGGTCATCGGCGATATACACTCGCGCAGCACGTTAATTATTAATATCAAATTATTAACCACTACGTCGGCAACGGGAGAGGAAAAAGATAACTGTTCTCACCCGCCGCTTTTTTTCGATTCGGAGAGTTGGGAGAAGCGAAAAAATCACACACACGTTTCTCACGAATAAAAAAGCTGCGGGAATTAATGGTGCGCAAATTAATTTGAATAATCACGAGACGCAGGGAAAAAGAGAGAGGTTCAATTTTTTTATGCGACCGACGCGGTCCGTCCGTCAGTTTATGTGTGCAAAAGTTGTTCAAAATTCACTTCATCATTTTTTATGTATATTCAGGGTTGGAAATTATGAAACAGTACCATCGCTCATCGTTAGATCATTATATTTGCACATGAACGAATATAAAAGTGCTCGAAAATTACACTCGGAGAGCGTGGAAATGGAAAAAAGGAAGGCTGGCTTTGTGTGTGCTCGGCCGGCGCATACGGCAAAAAGTTGTGTGGGCATGAAAGTGTAATTTTCTCCTGGCCGCGCTGCTCTTTTTTATTCATTACAGCTCGTGCTTCATAATACTCTTTTGCGCGGCAGTATGCAGAAAAAAGTGATAATGAAAGAAGTGATACATCAATATTGCGCCCTAGAGCCGCTTTTTGCCCCGCACTCCGGCCGACACGGTTCATAATTGCCTTTGCTTCAAAATTCGCTTTCATAGCGCACTATTCTTTGCATTTCATCCAATTTGAAATATGGCCTACTACAAGTCTAAATTATTATTTCTCATATTGAGATTCAAATCGCCTTGATTGCTAAATTTTTCCATAAAGTTTTCGAATATAACTTTCGTCAACTTAAAAACTATTTTGAAAGAAAGCAAATAACATTTTTCGTACTATTATTAAATCGAGCCCCAACCCCAACAAAAAAATTAAGTTAACTACTTTGTGATTTTTAATAATTATAATTTAATCATAAAATGATTTAATTAGGGACGTTGTAGCAGTTTCCCTGTCCATTTTGACTAAATATGAAATTCTAATAAGGAACTGTGCGTGTGGTTTAATTTCCTTAAAAACACGGGAAGAATTTCCAAGACGTGTCGCTGCGAGGGACGTTTTTCTCTCCCGTGGAAACGTACATTCATGGGCGGCACAACACGGTTTCTGATCGCTGCTCTGCCGGCAGACGGACAGAAGCGAAACAAAAAACAACAAAGTCAGCATGAAACCAATTAACTCGGCAAAAATCAGGCACGCGAAACAAAAAAAAAGCTCTCCTCGATGTGCTCCCGACGAAAAAATATATGAATTCCGCGTCGTTTTTATTCGGTCTAGCTGCTTTTATTGCGTGTAAAAAGAGGTAAAAAGTCCATATACCTGTCTCTGCAGACACAGAGCAGAGGTAGCGAGAGAGCCGCGTGGCCGCTCGTCGTTTGAGGCTTTAAATAGATTTGTAGCAGTTACGCCAACAGTTGGCAGAAATAAAAACGCTCAGCGCACCAATTCTCTTCTCATTGAGTCTCTTCGTGCAATCAACAGACGTTTTTTACAACTGAAAAAAGTAAAGCAGGCAATTTTTGGTAAATAACATCGTCAAAAAGTTAATTAGCTCGGAGCTTTTTAAACGCTTTAGCTGATTTTAATCTTTGTGGGGCACATTTAGTCAAAATGGCGTCCGATATTAATTGCACCCCTTTGAATTAATATTACTTTCGTGTGCAAAGGGCGATAATCGCCTGCCGATCGATTTTCCACACCGTTCCGAAATTTCGGGGGTGCATTCGGCTGCGTGCGTGCGCGGCCACCCGCATCAGATAAAGCGTCCGGCCGCTCTCTATAAATGGCAACTTCACTTACGCTCGCATTATTACAAATGTGCATAGGCGAGAGAACACCCCTTTGCTCTCTCCGTACCATAATTTAATATACCCTTTTGATGTGCTAAAAGCTGCTCGGCGAAATTTCTGCTCACTTTTGCACCAAAACTCGTGCGCCGAGAGTTTTGTTTGTGCATACGCGCCGAGTTAAATATTTCATGCACGCATGGCCAATTTTCGCCCCCATTTCCGCCTTGATTGTGTTTTTAAACTTTTAAACGGCCGTCGGGGGTTGTATCGACAGAGACCCTTGAAAGCTGCACGGGTTATCGCGCAACATGCAAATTTCCAGTTGTTGTTATTACGGTTTCCTTTTGGTGTATACGCGTGTACTGAGAGTAGAGGAAAATAAAATTACCACGCGAGTTTCGTGTGAAAGTCGAAAGGGGGAATGGAGCGGTGCCCTATTGTGATTTGCCTCTGCATTTAACACCTGCTCTTGGAGAAAAAGGTCTGGTCTAAATCTGAAAGGGTAATCTTTCAGATATGCTTGAAAATAAATTTCTTAATAGAGAGGAAAAATATCGTTTGGCCGAAAGCAAATTTTTTCTTATTATTCAGCAGGAAATTCTACTTGATGAAGTCAAACTAGCTCGTTAAGGTTTATTCGACTTTAATTTGGCGTAATGACCGCACGTTTATTTTTCGACGCTGGATTAGAATGGCAGTAAACAAAATTACCGGCGGCGGGACGAAAAGCTGCAGAGAAGACTTTTGATGGCAGCTCGAGTCTATTTTCAGCCTCGCGCATATTTTAGCCAACCTGCGCCGTCGCCGTTTGTTGTTGTTATTATCATTGCCACAAAGGGTATGTTGCTAACTTGTTGAGAATTGTGATATTAAATAACATCTCTCTGGGCGCGCGCGAGTGCGGCAACAGAGCCGCTGGTCGTGGCGTTTTATTATACTCGCGTGTTTGGACAAATTACGAGCTCTGCGATGGAAAATGGATGTAATCGGCGCCGTGCACCAACTCGGCATGAGCGACGCCAATTATTTGTAATAATAAATGTACGCACGACCACATTTTTGCATGACAGCCTCAAAAATATTTCACGCAAAATCGATCCGAAAGAGCGACATGGGAAAATTGGTAAGGAGCACCTGTTTGCAAAAAATCTTTGAACTAAAAACCACGAAAATTTTTTCCTCCTTAATTCACCAATTTAAAAAAAAAAAAAAATCTTTAAACATTCAAGCTACTCCTTCCCCTGAAAATTGACTTGATTCTGTGATTTTACTGATTTAATCTTGTATGCGTCGTCGACAATCACGTGCATCCTCTTCATCTTTGTATTTACAATTTAATCCATTCATCCGGCCGATGTTTTGTTTCGATTCACGGCCCGAGTGCCGCATGTTTTCCGGGCACCTGCACCGGTCATTTTGCACCTGTGCCGATGATGAATTCGCTCTGTTGCCGCAGCGTGTCTTTTACACACGAGCGCGGGGTCATCAATTATTCGCGACCGCCCTTTCTCTGTTTTATCCAGCGATTTATTCTCTCAAATGTGGCCTTTTCCATCACATTTTGTCCCGTTTTTAATGTCGGAATACTTACGACCGCTGTTTCACAGGCCAAACGTGCGCAGAGATGAAAAGGAATGGTACTCACCTAAAACAAAGAGAATTTCGACATTAATAAATGTTTACAAAAAATAAATATTTCGAAAATGATATTCTTTTGTAGGAGTTTAGGAAATTTTTAAATAATCAATTTTTCCAATTTTTTTTTTTTACAGAAAAATTATCCATTTTAGTTGCAAGCATTTTTAAGTGTATATTCTTCATATGAGCATTTTCTCTCTCAATATTTTCACATCTGTTTTCCAAGTTCATGCAGCTGTGCTTCATGTACTCCTTTGAGTTTTCAAAAAGGTTTGCTTTTTACGCTCGCACACTGATTGTGATTGGGAAACCAATTCGCCACACATTGCGTAGAGTTGATAAGAGACTCCGCAACATCGTGGCTCTCTGCGGTTTCTATTTGAGCCGTCCAATTTATTTCTCGACGCTGCTCTTTCACTCTCATCAGCTCGTGTAGTAAAATTGAGGTGCATTAATCTATGACGAGACTGAAACGAGATATTTCTGATTGGAAACCCGATATTTGATGATAAATGGCCGCGCGCAAGGGTGCAGTTTTGGGTTTGGGCAAAGAAAGAAAGACAGACTGGCAGCATAATCTGGCCTCCATCTCTCTCTGTCATCAGATCCGAGCGTATCCAAAATAACTCGCTGACAAGACTCATAAATAAAGACGAAATTTTAAACTGTGAGCATAAAAAATTTGCATTTTTTTTTTAACAAATGGCGTTTAAGATTACATATTTTAGGAAGCAAAAAACACGGATCGGATACGAAATTTAAATAAAAATGAGTAAGAAAAGATGAAAAACCATTTTGTTCTAAATTTTGGAAATTTTATAAGTTTTGGATTTTTGAATTTAGAAAAATTATATACATATCTTCAGCTGGTTAATTTTGATTCGGTTGTTATTGAAATTTAAATTTTTTATCAATTCGATTTTGCAAGATGAAATTTAAGCTCGCCGTTGCTAAGCAGCCAGTGGCCCCCGCAGGGTCTACGATGGCAATCCCGATTTGCGAATTTAAGAGCCCCGGACGCGCAGTATCTAGGGACTTTATTACCGAGGGGGCGCGCGAATGTTATGTGCAGTTCAATTACAAACACACACGCTCGCACTTTACAGCGTCGTCTCGCTCGCGAAAGCTAGGACGCTCCATCTTCGTTTCATTAGGCGTAATGGCCGTGACATAAAAACATACATGCGCCCCTGCTTTTATCGCGGCGGGGCTCTGCCGGTGCTGCCCTCGTCGCAATTTTCCGACGAAGTAAGATTGGTTTTCGATGCACGCGGCGGGCAGTGGTAATTTATTTATTGCAGGGGCCTGCAGAGATTGATGCTCGCAACGAAAACCAACCACTGGAACACGAGAAGCTCCCAGATGTATTATTTCGCCTCGGATGAGAAAACGAAGCAGCGAATTTATATTCGCAAAAGGCCGCAGATGCGCATTTCTATACGGATGGCTGTGGATTAGGCCCGACGTCTAATTTACGGTCTGCCTTCTTTTAATTTGCGCTCATTCGCGCCGAGGGTCAATAACTCTCCTGCATTGCAACAGTCTGGCCAAGACCAAGTACATATATGAACTGCTGACTCCCTTGCCGACGCGCTAATTGCCCGCTAATTAACCAACGTTCTATTGAATTCCGATAAGAACAAGGAAATTTCATAAATCATATATGCCGCATGACAGCCTGTTTGAATTATTTCGTCAAACGGCATTCCTCGTATATTGTTGTGACAACCGGACGGAATGCACACCGTTTCGGAGCCATAAAGTTTCTCTAATTCTGGAAAGGGACACTCGGCGGGTGTCGTAAACCTGTCGGTATGCCGTAGTTGTTGGTGACCAACCGCGGGCTGATTCCAATGTTTATGAGCAGGAGAGCAACCAAGAGTCGTAACTAAATCTTTTGGCGGAAATCATCTTGGGAATTTTCTTTGTCCCACGGTACACTTGAAAAATGTTGCCAAAAAAAATATGAGCAAAATTCTGACCACGTTAGAAATTTTGTAGCAAAAAATTTGACTCTAACGATTTAAAGCATTCAATAATAATGACAGTTTCGAATGTGCAAATTACATTCAGTTTTTTATTTTTTACCAACTGAAAATGATTATGGATTTGTTTTGTGAAAATTATTTACTGAACTTAAAATCCCATCTAATTGTATAAACGCAGGCACACGAATTTAGATTTTAAATCTGGTTGAAAATTGGATAGGAAAATGCTGTTGCGAAAGAAATGTGTTTCTATGAGGTAGGTCGGTCCACTTGGCGAAATTGACACGTCACACGGGCACTCGAGGAATCCCAAAGGTACACCCAAAGCAAACAGCACCGGAATTGGGCGTCGAGTTGTTTACTTTGCCGATTGCTGCGAAACTGCACCAAAAGTGCCGACCTTGCGATTCACCAAGGCGGCAGCATAATGATCCGCTTTCGGCGCTGTGCGTATGAGCATGAATAATAATAAAATTGAGCGCACACAGGCAATAAAGGTTTCCAATTTTGCCGGGGCACGATAATGCTGGCATAATGTACACACGCGCCTGCAAAGCCCGCTGGCAGCATGAATAGAATTTTATTATTACGCACACGCATTAGAAAATATAATAATATATAAACGCGCGCGTGCGGCGGATTTTCATTTTCGGCGACAATAAAATCTCGTTATGCGTAGAAGCGGCAGAGACAAATATTATTATTGCCGGCTGCTGCTGCTGCTTTTTATTTAAGGGCTGAGACGCACGAGTTATTAAGACGGACGGCCCGAATTCGGAGTCTTCATCATGAATGGGCGCGCCTCGCCAAGACATAAGCCTTGCTTCTTTCTTACGCGCGGCGGTCGCGGAAAATTGGCTGCTCTCGGAATCGGAGCCAATTTCGCCTCGAGACGACGCGCCGAGCTTGTTATTTTTAATGGCATTGTTTCAATCACAACGCCAAACACACGCATAGACTTGCTTTTTACTTAAGCTCGGACGGACGGAAATATACACAGAGTAACTTTCGATCTTGGCAAAATGATACGCAGAGAAAATAAGAACTGTGCTCAATGATATACAAGAGGAAAAGCAATTGAATCTATAAATACGTTCTTTCATTTGTAAAATGTCTTCTTTGGAAAGAAAAATAACAGACAACTTATAAGTCTGCAACTAACCGTTGGTCGTATTTTTAGTATTCGGCAAAATTGAGCTCAAAGTCAGAGAGAAAAATATTTTCGTCCCAGTATGATTAAATCGCATACAAAAATCTCTTTTTTCGGACACCAAATTTTGTAATTTATTTTGGTGTGCTCTGAACTTGCTCTCAATCTTTTGGCCGCTGCAGCAGAGAAAAGAAATTTATGGTATTATTTTATCAGGTCGAAAATCTGGGTGCGGCGATCAGCACAATTTCCACAACGGTGCGCGCGTGGTACATATTCGGTGCTCTCTGGCACCATCAAGTTTTATATGTACGCCGGCAGCACAAGCGGTGGATATTGTATGTATGGGGCTGGCGCGCGCGGAGGAGTGCATAAGGGCCCCTTTTTGCTTCGCGTGCGTATCGATCTGCAGAGTACGCTCGCTCGCCACGCCGGCTACCAGCCAGCCAGCCAGCCAGCGAGAGTGACTCCGTGTGAGCCGCAAAACCCTTTTTTCCCGCAGCATCTCTGATACACCGAGCCGATAACCGTCGGGGACACAATCGATGCCGCCCGCCAAACACCCCCGCCCGCCCCCCGCGGCACAAAAATTCGCCTGCTTTTGGCCTCGCTTCACTTTCTGCTCCCCTCCGAAGACGCTCAATTTGAACACAGAATTAGTGGTTGGGGAAAAAAAGGGTACCAGTCAATTTTATTAAATCATTTTAAATTTCAACTGAAACTATTTAACTGTGGCCTGGAACCTGGAATTGTCTTTAAAAAATTTAATGAAAATTAATCATATCGTGAGGCTCTACATTTTTTTTAAGCTCAAAGTAACATCAGTTTTCAGCAAAATGATTTCAGAAAGAATTAGAAAGAAACTAAAATATAATGAAAATTTGACTCTAGTTTGTACATTTGGTTACAAAATCTTAAGTTTCAATAAATAAAAAAGTGAAGATTTAGAGATTTGGCGACGAAATTAATCGGAATTCGGTGCATCATAATATGGTGTTCTGTGAAAAGTAATCCATTGTATATAAGCGTGCATGTTTAGACCGCGGATTATGCAGTGCTGGCCGATGATTCTGTCCGACTTAAATCAAGATTAAACCGAACAAGCCGGTTGCATGCATGCACGCGCCTAAATCTGAATTAACGGCCTACGCGATGTTCAATGGCTCGGGAAGTATGCGAAACGCGGGAAAACAAGAGCCCACTGTGGGCAGAGATCGATGCGAAATTTCACTGGAGGGTGCAGCTGAGACCAACTAAACTAGGGATCGGATTGACTAGGGGTCAATAGCGGCTAGGGAATAATATTGTTGTTCAGCAGAAAAACGCATCTCAATTCATTCATGAAAATTACCATTGTTATAGATTTGTAGAATAGTGGAATTTACTACATTTTTGTGATTAAAATTTCTTCCATCTTCATTGAAATGGAGAAGTCAGATTGTAGACTTTAAATCAAATGCATTTTATTGACTAGACTGATAATATTGCAGCGCATACATATTAAGGGAGCATTACAAAGTTTCTCTATGAGGTCAGTTTGCATTTTGATGCATATGCACAATAAAATATAGCACAAAAGTCAGCAAAACTTTTTTATTCACATGAAAGCTTAACGGAAAATTCTAACTTTGCCAATGCAATAATTCCCAACTATGCAAAAGCGGCGTATAAGGGTTAAAATAAGTAAGTGCATTAGTCTAGTTTCCAAAGGGAGAGGATTATACGTTGCAGCTGAATAATGCACCTTTAGCCACGTCACAAAAGCCGTATTAATACCCCGCTCAGCAACCAAAGTTGCATCAAAATTAGCTTTGTGGAATCCATACGAAAGACCCTTCAAAGAAACGCGCAGCAGTATGATATTGGGAT